CCCCATCCCATCCCCATCCCCAGCCCCATCCCGGGCTGGGCTCGGCGCTGGGACCCCAGCAGATGGCAGCAGGGCCTCAGGGTGAGCTCCTACGGAGCCTTTCTTTCCGCCGATTTCCTTTTTCCCCGGCTTGCTTTAAATAAGAGCGATCACCCCGTGCAAATCCACTGCAGATGCAGCTTGGGATAAACTGGACCGGGAGAGGGACATTTGCCCTGCTCCTTACCCTGCTGAAAAACTCGCCGTCCTCGGCAGGCACCCGAATGCTGTGCCCACACCGCCCTCAGGAGAAAATGGGGTTTGTGGACAGGGTTTAAGGGAAAAGTGGGATAAAGATCTCACCCGAGACAAGCAAAAGAGGCTGGAAGCAGGACAGAGCCGGGTTGGAGCGGCCCGCCCTCAATCCTCCTTTGGGGGCAGGACAAGGGGAGGTGCCCAGGTGGTTCTGAGGTGCCCAGATGGGCACAGGTGGTCCTGAGTGAGACCCGCAGCCGCCCCTGGCTGAGGTTGGGAGCTGCCTTTCCTGCCGCGGACAGCGAAGAGCTTTACCAAGGGTGCGAGCATCACTCTGCTCAATGTCCGGGGAAACTGAGGCTGACCCGGAGCGCTCCATTCGCCTTCTCCCACCACCGCCTCCATCCCCGCCCCTCCGTGCCCCACTGCGCTCTCCTCCGGCACTGCGGGGCTCGGGCACGCCGGGATCCCGGGAGGGGCACGGGAAGGTTCCTGTGGCCGCAGGGGTGGCTCTGCATCAGGCCAGCCCTGGCACGGACCGGGATGGGGGCTCCGTGTCCCGGGAGGGGCACGGGAAGGTTCCTGTGGCCGCAGGGGTGGCTCTGCATGAAGCCAGCCCTGGCACGGACGGGGATGGGGGCTCCGTGTCCCGGGAGGGGCACGGGAAGGTTCCTGTGGCCGCAGGGGTGGCTCTGCATGAAGCCAGCCCTGGCACGGACCGGGATGGGGGCTCCGTGTCCCGGGAGGGGCACGGGAAGGTTCCTGTGGCCCCATCCCCGAAGCCCCGGCCGGAGCCGCTCCCGCCGACTCTCCCCGGAGCCACTCGAGGGCCACTTCATCCCCGCCTAATGCATTCTTAATTATAATTAGGTTCGGATGGCTGCCAAAAGGAGCCCGAACGCTGCGGAGCGCCCTGGGGAAGGTCCTGGAAAGGCGGCAGGGCTCTGCTCGGGGCTGGGCAGGGCTCGCTCCCAGCACCCCTGATTTTGGGGTGCCAGCGCTCGCCGTGCCCTGTCTGGTGCCAGAGGACACCTCCCTTAAGGAGGATGCGAACCCAAAGCCTGGATGGGGCTGCTGCTCGGCCCCTCTGCCCTGCCCCAGCTTTGCTGGCTCCAGCCCTACAAATC